CCCCCGCCGCCGCCGCTGCTGCCGCAGGCCCCAGACCGGAAGTGAATGCCCCACTCGCAACCCCTTCCGGGGGCGCGGTAGCCCTGGGGCCCCCAAGATGGAGGCCCTAGCAACTAGGCCTGCTGGACAGGGCCGACGCTTGGCAACCGCCCGGCACGGCCGGGACCTCGCCGGAGCTGTCGGGTAACTCCGAGGCTCCCCGCGAGCGTCTTCCGGGCCTGGCGAGCGCAGACCTTTGTCGCCTAGGCGGGCCTGGGTTTGACTCCGGTCCCCCCCTCCTCCTCCTTTACTGCGACACAAGTTTCCTTCCCCTCTGCCCGGCCCCTCCCTCACAGAAACACGCCTTGAAAAAAAAAAAAATCCACCAAACCGCAAATTCCACCCTTGCCGCTGCCGGAGGAGCCCGCGCCGTTTTTAAATTCACCCACATCTAATTACTTTTGACCTTGAGCCAGATTATTTAACCTCTCTGCTTGTGCCTGGCCTCCTCAGGTGAAGAATGCATACCTGAGGCCGGCTGTGCGGTTTCAGTACGATTTTATGCCTCAAAATTTTACACACCCTTGACTCAGCAATTCCACTTTCACTCAATTTCTGCTCAAGAAATAATCATTTTGGGTATCATTTTTTAAGTATTTCATCATCAAGATTAATAACTCAAGGCACTGGGAAAGGTTGAAAATTGTAACCGACTACAAAGTCCAACGATATGAGATGGCATTAAAAGCAGCCACTGGCAAGAGCATGAAAAGATGGAGTGGGAACTACCAGCCTAGGGACTTCGTTACAATAAAAGAATGAAAAGGCAGATTCCAGACTAGTTCTCAGAAAAATACGTGAACATCCAGTTGCGGGTACTGTAAGATAAATACCTGTAAAGTATATAAATCTACATATAGATACAATAAGATGCAGCAATATAACACAAGAAGATGCAATCATTATAATAATTGTAAAAAAAAAATTATAGTGTAGACACATACCTGAATGTAAATACAATAAGATACATACCTGCAGGTAGATGAAGCATTATAATACACTAAGGACATAATTATAATGCACATATATATACAGAGCTTCACATAATCTGCAAATTTCTCCTTTACTTAATGTTCCCTTTTACTTTCTCAGAAAACTCACTCTGCAGATTACTTCCTTTTGCTCTTTTCTATCCTAAGTCCCTCAACTAGCGTAGAACTGCTCCAGTCTCTCTCGTGATATAAGCTATGTGACTAATTCTGCTCTGAGAGAAGTGTGTATTTTAATAAGCTATGAATAAGTGAATGCCCAGGAAGGAATTAAAATATGAACCAAAATGTCAAAATGTTAATTACTGGTATACAATTTTCTTCTTTTAGCGTTTTTAATTTTATGAGCCTATGAACATTTTTGAAAAAAATTTACAAAATATAAAGTGAAGTAATTTTTACATATTATTATTATTATTATTATTATTATTATTATTATTTGGAGATGTAGCCTGGCTAGACTAGAACTCTCTATGCAGGCCACACTGGCCTCAAACTCACAGAGATCTGCCTGTCTCTGTGTCCTGAATGTTAGTATTCTACTATATATCCCCAGCTTCAAATTTAAGTAGGTCTTATCCTGGTTAGTTCCTTTGTTAAACTGATACAAGCTAGAGTCTTCTGGGAAGAGGAGCACCAACAGAGAAAATGCCCCCATCAAATTGCCTGTAGGCAGGTCTGTAGGCATTTTCTTTCTTTTTTTCCTTTTTTTTTTTTTAATTTTCTGTAGGCATTTCCTATAGGCATTTTCTTGATTAATGATTGATATGGAGGGGCTCAGCTCACTGCTGGTGGTACCACCCCTGGGCAGGCTATCCCAGGTTATATAAAAATATAAGCTGGGGCAGGGTTGGGGGGTTGTAACACACCTTTAACCCCAGCACTTGGGAGGCAGAGGCAGGAAGAACTCTGAGTTCGAGGCCAGCCTGATCTACAAAGTGAGTTCCTGGACAGCCAGGGCTATTATTCAGAGAAACCCTGTGTGGAGGGAGCGGGGAGTGTAGGTTACAAGCCATGGGAGCAAGCCAGTAAGCAGTACTCTTCTATGTCTCTGCTTCAGTTCCTGCCTCCATGTTCCTGCCTTGAGTTCCTGTTCTGACTTCCCTATATGGTGGACTATAAACTGTAAGCTGAAATAAACCCTCTCCTCCCCAAGTTGCTTGTCATTACGGTGTTCATCACAGTAATAGAAAGCAAACTAAGACAGGGCCTTTCCTGTATATATTTGCTTTAGTTTCTGTTCAGTTCCTGTGGTTGCTTCAACATGAATTTTCTCCAATTTCTCTTCCTTGCCTTACTGAGAAGGCTAAATGACTAAACTAATAACTCACAAATTATTTATTTGGCAGATAAGGATTAATTTTACCTCTTTATCAAAAACCACAATGGGGGCTGCAGAAACAGATCAATAGTTAAGAGCACTTGGTGCTCTTCCCAAGTTCAGCTCCCAGCACCCACATGGTGGTTCACAACTGTCTGTAGTTACAGTTCCAGGATACCCAATATACTCTTCTGGCTTTCTTCACAGACAAAACATTTATACACATAAATTATTTTTTGCAATGCTGAACAGAGCAAAAATATACTCTAAGTAGCAAAATACCACTGAGCTAGATCCCCAATAATGTTTTTAAATTTAGAAAGGCTCCACAGTAATAAATAGAAAGAACTTGGATGCATGAACATGGATAAACTTTCCTGGTAAGAGTGTATTTATATCACTTCATTATAATTTCTTCAGTACTTAATGTATGCTATCCCAAACTGTTCTAAGTACTTTACAAATACTAATTAGTCACTAATTGTTGTCTTCGTACAGCCTAATGAAGTAGGAGTATTACACCCCCTTGGCCAACAGGCATGATAAACTTTCCCAAAATCATGTAAGTAATGGATGATTAAGATTTTATATATATAAATTATATATATATATTATATATAACAAGTTTGGCTCCAAAGCCCCCTCTTAACCACTATATTGCAGACCTCAACTATATTAGAATTTGAATCCTTTCTGATTATAAATGCTTTATAAAATGCTGATCATAGGTAATTTAATCTACTGTATATAATCAGTCTACCAAATATAATCATTTAAATATATACATATATGTATACATACATATGTTGTAAAAGAGAAACAGAGTAACTGAAAGGAAATGAAATGTCACTCTGTGTGCAAATGCTCCGAAGACTCCATGTAGGAACTATGTCCCACACAAAGACTAACATAGCAGGGTCTAGTCAATTACACCTCTCAAACTGAAATTACACTGCACACACCATTGCTCTAGAATAGACAACTGCAGATCAAATAAAAAATAAATTCGCTTAAATAGTTTGATTTTGCTTTTTAGGGTCTCACTATGTAGACAAGGCTAGCCTCCAACTCACCAAGATCCTCCTGCCTCTGCTTCCTGGGAGCTGAGATTCAAGGCATGTTCCACCATGCCTGGATTCCTTATGAACTTTAAATCACCTTTGAAGTATTTATAATACCCAGTAAAAAAGTAAATGTCCACAGTTACTAAACTGTATTACTAAGTAAATAATGACCAAAAGTCTGTGGGCACCCAGCACTGATGCAATGTTGTCATAAATATTTTCTATATGTAGCTCACTGAAGCTGAAGATGTGGACCCCAGTTATACACTTCATTAGCAAACATTGCTATGATATCATAAAAAAGCCAAGGAGTGCACTCTGAGGAAGCCTGATACTCCAATGATGAAATCATCAAGATGGGAGGGGAAAACAGGGTAAGCCTCTTGTAATGGGGCCAAGTGACGGACCAATAACAAGAGGATCAGTACCTAAGATGTTCCAACTAAAAATTAGTTTTAACATAACCACCACCATGACCCCCCACCACCACCTCCGTCTTTCAACACAACTGCAGGACATTTTATTTTGAAAATATCTTCTTAGTTTTTTCTTCCTCTCTTTTCTCACTGACACTCCCTAGCACACCCTGAAAATTCCAGGGTTCCTTTCTCAACCCCTTTCTTTCTTCTTTTTCCTTACGATGCTATACTTTACACTAAACATGATCCACCCATTTAAAGTGAAAAACCTTATGCATTATGACAAATAAATTCATGTAACCACAACCACAATCAATATAAATGAGTTCTATCACTCAAGAATATCCCCTTATGCCTCCTCTCAGTCACTTTCCACAATCCTCTCCCCTATACCAGTCCCCTAAAACTACGTCTCCAGTTTATATCACTGGAAGTCAGCACACTCGTTCTAAAAGAGCAAATAAATGGAACCACAGAGTATATACCCTTTTCTCTCTGGCTTCTCTATCTGAACAAATCTAAGATTCATTTATATTGTTGAATTACCAAATTTGTTTCTTTTTGTGGGTACTATTCCATTGAATAGATATACCACAGCTTCTTGTCCATCTTCCTATTGATCAGTTATCATTTTTTAGTTGGGGGGCTATTATTATTCAGTGGACTTTTTTTTCTTTTGGTTTTTTGAGACAGGGGGTTTCACTGTGCAGCTCCTGGCTGTACTGGAACTCACTCTGTAGACTAGGCTGGCCTCAAACTCACAGAGAACCACCTGCCTCTGACTCCTGAATGATAGGATTAAAGGTGTGCACCACCACCAAATGCCCTGCATTGGTGGACATTTGTGGGGCAATTTCATCTGAATTGAA